TCTTCACAGTCACGATCCCCCGGTGATTCACCGGGATCTGAAATGTGATAACATCTTTGTCAATGGTAACCAAGGTGAGGTGAAGATCGGAGATCTAGGGTTGGCTGCTATTCTTCACCAGGCCCGTTATGCACATAGTGTTATCGGTGGGGATCATAATGTCCTTAAATACTGTCAATACTACAAGATTCAGAACTATTGCTGATATATAAATGCAAATGATAAAGCAAGTGTTGATGTCATGTAGGCACACCCGAGTTTATGGCACCGGAACTCTACGAGGAGGAATACAATGAGCTTGTAGATATTTATTCTTTCGGCATGTGCTTGCTCGAGTTAGTAATTTTCTAGCACCCATATGTTGAATGTGCTAATGCAGCTCAAACATACAAGAAAGTGACATCGGTAAGGCATATTACTTACCATCAATGTATAGAATATCAAATATAAACCCTTTATCCATCTTGCTTCATGATTTGTTCCTTCCTTCGGCAGGGAATAAAGCCAGCAGCATTGGGGAAAGTGACGGATCCTAGAGTGAAGTTATTTATTGAAAAATGTCTTGCTAAAGTCTCAGATCGTTTGTCTGCAAAGGAGCCTTTAAGGGATCCATTTCTTCAACCTGACGAGGAAAATGACAATGTAGGTTGTTCTTTACAAGCTAATGTCCAGTCTTCAGGTAGAATTCTAGAGCAATTTTTTGGAGCTTGAAGGCTTTGAGTATTTTTTTAGCCTCAATTTTACATGATAAATGCAGATAATACTTCTGATCAGACTAATTTAAGGGTAAATACCAAGGATCTTATCTGAGACAGGCGTGGATGTCAAAGTGCAAGGTTAGAGGAATTACGTTAACATGATATTTCTTAAGCTACGTATATCGGATTCTACAGGTAAGGAAATATTTCATTCATTCGCATTCACAGTCGTTTTTCTTATTGAAAACTGAGATGCTTCCTGTTGGGAACATCGGCGCACCCCATGGCGCAGCGGAAACAAAACTCGACGGTCTCACCAACGATCCAAGTACGAAAAACTGAAATCGGGATGAAGAGATGCGAATACTTAAAGTGGGTTCCTTGAAAAACAGCAAGGACAACAGTGAATACTGGCTGTGTAGATCGGTTCGAATCTTAAGTCTCCACGAAATCACGTCTCAGCCTCTACTCAGTTCACCCAATTGAGTGTAATCTTTGTTTTCCCCAAAACTCTTTTGAGAGAAAACGGCTGAAGGTTTTGATGTGTGTTGTTCAATGGCTGCTAGACCTAACACACCCTTTTATAGCCAAGTTACCCTAATCATATTAGGGTTTTATTATTTCATATTAATTAAATCTATATTTAATTAATTGAAATTTAATAATCCTCTTATATTCAAGTTACCCTAATCATATTAGGGATTTTATTATTTCAAATTAATTAAATCTATATTTAATTAATTAAAATTAAATATTCAGGATTATTAAAACATATATTTAATTAACTCTAGATATATATTTTAGTAACGTACAACAATTGTACATCTTTGCTCGTTTCAATCCTAGGGTGTGACCTTATAGGTTCTTGTAACGTTAACAGTAATTATTAGAACAATTCTAATATTACATACAATGAGTGACATCTAGCAATATATCATTGTCACCTAAGTTACAAGAAAATATGATTCGACATATCATCTTGGTGATTACTCTTTTATGTATTACATCCTTATGTCCTTTATATCTAGAATATGCACAAGTCTTGGAATAGTTACACTTGTATAGCCCATCTATTGTTTCTTGATATCTAGAGTAGACTTTAATTAACGAATAGTTTATGATATCTCATATTAACTTATTCGATCATGGCCATACGTTTCTAGTCTTACTCAATCAAGTGGCTTGTGATATATTTCCTATTATGTAGGAAGGAAAAATCATATCTTAATCATACACACCCACTACATATATTGAGATATATTCAATAACAGTCTTTATAGAGCAACCAGTTATGGAACTTGTTTAGCTTCATCAAAACATACAACAAGATATGTTGGGATAGTATTGATCTCAAGTCTGAGGATCATATATAGTTATCACCATGAGCAATGTTATGACTGTCACATAATAATCCAAGACATATGCTCGTGGTCGGTCAATCCAATACATTGTTCTCTAACAATATAATCATGTATTAATTCTGACATCTCTATATCAATAACAACTCATTGTCATCAATCAATAACATGTTAGTCTTAAGCGTATTATTATTGTCCATGCCCATAATAATACTTGACTATGGATCTTTTAATAATAACAATTATGTCATTATATGGATTTTATTATCTTTCAGTTTATGTTAAACACATATATATAAATGAAAATAATAGTGGCAATGCCTTTATTCAATAAAATCGGTAAATAAAAGTATTATTACAATCATCATATGATTGGTCTATGGTTATACTCTAACACTTCCCACTGGAACTAGGTCATATCCGCAACATCCATTCCCTCCTTTGATATTGAAGTAGATACAACGACAGCAGTTGCTCGAGAAATGGTTGAAGAGTTGGACTTGACAGATCCATATGTTTCAACAATTTCCAAAATGATTGAATCAGAAATCCGGTCTCATATTCCTGATTGGGTTCCAAAAGAAACTCTTAGTGATAATACTTTGGGAGAAGTTGCAAACTCTGGGAACTATCTTTCAGAAAATAAGGGTGATGGATCTCCATTGGCTTATGAGCTGACCTCATCTCATCAGAGAGATTACCTTCTGGTAGAAGATTCTGGTCTGAGCCACTCAAGGCAGCTGGTGGAAACTCTTCGACCAGTTTAGGTGGCTCAAATGTTGCTTTTCGAGTGGATTTTGTATGGTCTGCAAATAGCATGATTGAACTGAATGAACAATCTCATGATAGCTATGAAATTGGAGGTAAAATAAACAGTAGTACTTCATCCGGACGACTTGACAATGAGTTCACACATCACAATGGTGGGGACGATGATGGTCATGGGAAAGAAAATGATGCTAATCGAAAACATTTTTCGAATGAGAACTGCAAGCCATTAAAGGATGCTGAATCAGGAGTGAAGGCAATAACAGAGAGACTCGAGTCTCTGTGTTTAATCAGCAAATGGAGATTGATGAGCTAAAGAAGAAGCACCAATTAGCCATATCAGACCTTCTGAAAGAACTATCTCAGGAAACCTGTGAAAAGGTTTTGGCTACATGTAAGATGAAGATTCCAGATTATACTATTCAAAACGACACAAACCGCTAAATGTGCATCCGACATACCAGACTCGAGTCTCTTTGATATTGCAGTTTCATAATGGTGGGGAATCATAGATGGAATGATGGTACTAACAGACACTCCATTACTGCTGAAGAGAGCTGCAATTTGTTGGTTAAATCGGACAGTGTGTCTGTAGCTGACAAACCTGCAGGAATGCCTCGTATCCAGAGGTGAGACGAGATCAACAATGCTCTGTGACTGTAACTAGAACTATAACGGCAGCACATCGCATGGTGAGTCAAAGGAAAGGACAATTAGGCTGAAACCTTGGTTTCGAAAAATTCCGGGGTGCTATCGAGGTGAGCCATTGTTCCTGCAAGTCATGTGTATATATGTAATATAGTGTGTATATATGTAATATAGTTTGGATGTCTGAGGATTTCTGCACATCATGGATGCACAAGCTTCTTTTTTATACTGAATGTGGTTTAATTTGATAGTTCTTTCAAAAACTTCCACAGGAGCATATACTAGTACGAATGGTCTTACTAAACAAATTGTACTGCAAATTTTAGGGTCGGGTCAAACGAAATTTGGATATAGAATTCCTACCGACTTTCTTAACATCTTCAATATACACGAACCCAAATCTAGAGTTGTTTCTTTTAGATGAGAACAAATTCAACACCCTAGCCTGATTTACAAATTATCTTTCTCAACCATCATCAATGAATTCTCGCCGGAATGTTGTAAACAAATATCATAAACACCTAATTCATACACGTTGTAAGGCTCATGATAAGTTCATACAAAGATCAAGTGGAGGTAGTTGGTTTAGGACTTCTGATAAACACGTGGCGGGTTGAAGGCATTTTTATGATTGTAAATGAGTCGAGTCGAACTTGAGTATTGTCAAACTCGATTTGAAAAGTTTAAAGCTAAGCTCGACTCGAAAACTCATGAGTTTAAAATTGTCAAGGTCAATTCGAAATCAAAATAAAAATTGAAGCTCGACACGACTTGAAAGCTCTCAAGCTTAAAATTTTCAAGCTCGATTAGAAATAAAAAATTTAAGCAAGATTTGAGTTCGAAAAAATCTAAACTCTAAACATTCTTAGACTTAGCTCAATTGAAGTTCTAACTCGAACTTGATTCAAGTTCGAACCTGAACTTTAAGTACATGAAAGTTTTATATTAAAAATTAGCTGACCCTATTCATATATGTAATAGGGTGAGGGGGAGGTAAGGTAGTAGGCTACCCCAACGCCAGGTTGAGAGTAGCTTCCGTGAAAGACCTCCGACAATCAGAATTATGAATTACCCACCGTGGGACTCGATCCCACGACCACAAGGTTAAGAGCCTTGCGCTCTACCAACTGAGCTGGACGGGCAATTCGAAAGTTTTATATTGTATTTTTTAAAAATTTATATAAATATTAATGTTATAAATAATTTAATTTTAGAAATAAAAATTTACTATATTATTTTTTTGAGTTACTTGCAAACTTTTTGAGTAACATATCAAGTAAAAGCTTGAGTTGAAATTAAGTCTATTCAATTCGAATGCTGATCGAACTTTGACCGAATTAAACTTAAATAACTAGCGATCTGTCTCGTCTCATTTACAACATTAGAAGTTTTTAATGACAATTTGTTTATGGTTATAGATATTGATAAAGACAAGCAAGAGAAGGTTTTGGCTATCGGTAAAGACAACATGTTTGTATAATTGTTTGTTCTTTGGGTTCCTTTGTATAGGAGCTTCAGGCCATGAATCTCACTGTAACCAACAAGAGTTTTCTTCTGTTTTTGCTTGTTGGGTTGTCTGCTTTTTTATGGATATGAAACATAGTTATTATAGGAGAGTAAGTTACACGCGTTATAGTAGTTGATGTAACATAGTTCAACATTATTCACAGTTATTATAGGAGAGTAAGTTACACGCGTTATAGTAGTTGATGTAACAGGACTAGATTCAGCAACAGGTGCAGTTGTAGCCCTGAAAAAGATTTGATAAGAATTCATTTTATCAGCAGCTGGACTAGACATACATAGCTGGAGTTGCAGCTGGAGCAGTAGAAGCTGGTGTTGGAGCCACTGGTGGTACAATTGTGTGGGAGTCTACAAAGAATACATTTTATCAACTATGAGAGAAGGGAAAGAAATACTTGCACCCAAAATCACTACTCATTAACCTGTGCAAATACATGCACAGTTTTCCAGAAGTAACTAACCAAAAATCACTCCGCACTTTATAGCAGAGAGGAAAAAAATACATTTCTATTCATGCTCAAAAAGAAATTTGAAGATCAAAATTCGCATAATGGTTTTGTGAGAGTGCATAGTTTTAACAGATTCACACATTATTATGGCATTAAGTAGATCAACAAAGAAAATTAACTAATTAAACTGTTCTAGTGGAGTCTGTTGTGAAATTCGGGTTAATTTCCACCAATAACAGATTCACCTTGAAAACTATTATCTAGGTGACTAGTGTGAAAACGATTGTACTAAAAATCACCCCAAGGTAGATTCCCAGGAAAGAGGAGGGGTCACAATGGTCCCTCTTAAAACCCACTTTCCTTAGACAGAACTACCAAGACAAGTAATTTTAATAGGACAATAATTGACAACAACTATACCCGACAATAGCTATTAAATAGACATAAAAGAGAACACCAAAATATTTCACTAATAGAGGAAATATTACAAAGAGAGAAAGAATACAAATAGCCTTTAAAATAGAAGAAGGCTTATATTTGTGGGATGATTAACTAAGGAGGAGGAGGGCTTTATTTATAACAAAAGAATTTCCCCTCCTCCTTATACACAACCAATGTGGGACTTTTGCCAAAAACCAACAAATCTCCACCTTGGCAAATTCCACACACATCTCTAAAAAAAACAATCTCAACCATCATGTAGAGTTTGTTCTGACCGCTTTTCTTCAAAAATTTCTCCTCCAGTGCCTTCCACAATTTACTTGCAGAAGTTTCCTTAGAAAATGCATACTTCTGCTCTCTAGAAAGACACGATCGAATAGTACCACATGCCATTCTATTGATCCTCTTCCATTCTTTCTCCTCAACATCATATGGTTTCTCTCCTTCAATAGCAATGTCTAGACCCTGCTGAAATAGGGCATCTAGAACCTCGCTTTGCCACATGCCGAAATGACCGGTGCCATAAAAAATCTCCACTGCAAATCTAACATTTGTCACAGCATTTCTTGCCAAAATTGAAGATGAAGAAGCGTCTGCCATTTCTGCTACAAATTCTATTTAATAGCTGCCAATACAGAATGTCAATTATCCCAAGGAAATTTTTCTGATGTGGAAGATCAGCCTAAGCCGCAACCACAGAGCATACTAAAATAAACCAAGAGCGCTGATACCAATTGTTGTGAAATTCGGGTTAATTTCCACCAATAACAGATTCACCTTGAAAACTATTATCTAGGTGACTAGTGTGAAAACGATTGTACTAAAATCACCCCAAGGTAGATTCCCAGGAAAGAGGAGGGGTCACAATGGTCCATCTTAAAACCCACTTTCCTTAGACAGAACTACCAAGACAAGTAATTTTAATAGGACAATAATTGACAACAACTATACCCGACAATAGCTATTAAATAGACATAAAAGAGAACACCAAAATATTTCACTAATAGAGGAAATATTACAAAGAGAGAAAGAATACAAATAGCCTTTAAAATAGAAGAAGGCTTATATTTGTGGGATGATTAACTAAGGAGGAGGAGGGCTTTATTTATAACAAAAGAATTTCCCCTCCTCCTTATACACAACCAATGTGGGACTTTTGCCAAAAACCAACAGAGTCCATGAAGAGTGATTATGATGGTGGCAATTTTATTGTTAATGTGATATTAGAAGGGAAGAGGTGAGAAAACAATAGGAAACCAAGTAACTCACAAATGTTAAAAGTAGGACCAAGTTAGTAATAGAATAACTAAGATTCCAACATTATGCATTCTGTTTATCATTCAATATTGTGAGTCAGATGGTGAGCATTTGGACACAAAACAACTCAACAATGCCCTTTATCTAAAATACTTAAAGCACCGCTATTCACTACCTACAACATTTAATGATTTAAACATGTACAAATTGCATTTACCCAAGTTGTTTCTCATCAGTCATCATAGTATTGAACAAAACATCTTCCACTAAGAAACAAAATCCTAATGCCTTTTTCAGGTCATGTCAAATGAAAATGTCTTTTCAGTAATATAGATAAAAAAATCATAGCAGAATAACAGCTTATAAGCAATTATGCCTAAATTAAATTAATATTCAAAAAAAGATTATGGAAAACAGAGCAGGAGAGGTGAAAAAAATAATAATATTACTTTAGTTGTTGAAGCAGTTGCACAATCACCAGATGAACCCTTATTCTAGCACAAGAGAAAACATTGTAGAATCAGTGCCAAATTGAAAATAATGAAAATAAACAAGGATACAAGTAGGTAGGTTAATGGCCCCAAAAAATACCAAGAAGTATTGTTTCTTGTTTAGCAGCAAATTGACATTTTGGAGCATGCAACTAAGGGAACAAACACATTCCAAAAGATTTAATGAAACCCTAAACCAAAACTAAGATAGCTTCTGAATCCAACAACTGAGTGAAAATTTATTTCAGTTTACGTATTTCTTACAAGCAAACATAACTGGCCAGCAAGGTTAGGAAGCATTAGATAAGAACTTACAAACACCTGAGGGAGTGAGAGAAAGAGAGGGGGAATAGGAGAATAACTAATTTCACCTTTGCCAACATGATCACTATAAATCTATTTTCAGCAACACTATTCTCTGACAGAGTCGTCTCATCTTTAAGAACTTTATCCTTATGGATAAGCATTTCTTGTGCAGCAAAATAAATTTCTGCTCCTTGAACAGTTTCTATTTTATTTTTTACATCACCTACCTGGAAGGAAACTCACAAATATTAATAGCAGAATTGTATAACATCACTAGGCATAAATATAATCGCCAAAAAATCATAGCAAAAACAAAAGAATTAATAAAGTCCATCAAACAATAGGATATCCACACCATTCCGAGGAAAAACCCTAGATTATGGCTTAACTCAGAATGCAGAACTTTATCTCACTCTATCGAACAATATTTACATGTTCAATGTTTGTTTATTTTCTACTTGTACCTTATATATTGTATACAAAAACTACCATTGGCATGGAAATCTATATATTCTTGTTAAAGGACACAAGTGAATCAAATAATCAAGCAAAACTAAAGCCCGAAAACAATATGTTATTCACTACTTTCAGTGAACATTTGCTGCAGATTCCAACCTGAGAATAAAAAAATTACCCTCATTGTCCTAACGCCCTCTATTCCGCGTAGATCCAAGTTGAAATCACCAGAAATATGCCGAGAAAAAACGAAACCTATTAAACAATTCAAGCAACAACATTTCATAATTATTTAAGAAAAAAAGGTTTAAAATGCAAGATCCGATAGCTTCAGAGAATGCTGAGGAGAGTGGAAACATACCTGACCGGGAGTGATCGGTATGAAGAAGTCGCATTTGAGCGTAAAGAGTCGATTTAATAAACGGCGGGGAGCATAAAATGTTAGGGCAAATAAAAGGTGAGATTTAGCTTAAGGGTTAGGGAGATAGAACGTTTAAATTTTGCGGCGTTTCTAGACCCAAGCGCCACAAACATACCAAACTATTGCGGCGTTTGTATTAAAATGCCGCTAAAATACTACTATGTTGCGGCGTTTGTTAATAAATGCCACTATATATGAACCATATTGTGGCGTTTGTATAAAATACCGCTAAAGATTACTCTTTTATGGCATTTTTTTAAAAAGGCCACTATAGATTAACCCTATTGCGACGTTTGTATAAAAACGCCGCTAAAGTTACCATTTTGGCGTTTGGAATGTAAACGCCGCTATATGTTTAAAGTTAGTGGCGTTTACTCTCAAAACACCGCTGTAGAACAGTTTTGCTGTAGTGAAATATTTAATCGTTACACTATCTAACTTTTGAGAAAAAATATTTAACATATAATTAATATAATTAGTATATCAAGCTTATATTTTTAAATAATTTTCATAAGTATCATATTTATTTATATAAAATATAATATATAATTTAAAAATAATATTGTTGTCTCGAGTAGACCAATATATTGTTTTTCAACGTAAAAGATCTATTTTTTAATAACTCAAAATTAAATATTATTTTAGATAATTACTTTTTATAATAATATCATTTTTCTCCTCATAAAATTATTAATAATTAATATCTTAAATATTAAAAATATAAAATAATTTTAAATACTTAAAATTATTACTTCATGTTTTACTAAATCAAACTCCTTGTATACTATTATTATGTTTATAATTATGAGTAAAACATGAAGAATAAGAATTAAAAAGGGTCTATATGAAAAGAATTCATTGCTCAAGACTTAATATTTTAGAGGTAATGACATCCCACTATTTTAACAAAAACAAATACTACTATTAGTAATAAGTTATTGTCCGATAATAATATTTTTTTATGAAGCAAACGTGGAGTGTAATCCTAGAAAAGATTATTTCACTTACTAATAATCTTTTTCTCAAACCAAACGCCATTAAGGATATGTGGGCAACTTATAGGAAGGCTCAAATCTCTATCATGATCCTTGTGGATGGACACCTTTAAATGTTTATTTTTTTTACATATTTCTAAGATTATAAATGAACCGAATTTAAACGAAAAATATTGTATTTATGTTCGATTAAAATTAATATCATGTTCGTGTTCGTAATAATTTATTTATTTTTAGGTAAACCACTTCAAATATCACTGACCTTTAAGTGCAGACTCAAAAATGTCACTCACATTTATATTTTACCAATTTTAACACTGACGTTTATGTTTAACTCTAATTATGTCACCTCTTCGTTAATCTATTAACGGGACGCTTACATAACATCTACTTATCGTGATGGTGATGACATGGAAGGTTTCATTAAAATCATTTAATCCAAATAAGATCTTTGTTGGTATTTTAACAATAGTTTATTTGATATAAAATCCTAATTTACAACTCTATCCTTAAATCCCAAATTCATTTGTCTCATTCTCTTCTCTTCTTATCAACGACAGAAATTAAAAATCACAAGGGAAAGTTTGACTGTGAAAGAAGCATAACGAGATGGTGGATATTCGACTCAACGTCCTTGTCTGGTTAGCTTTTCAGAAAGTGAAGCGTTAAACTTGGGAATTTCTGAAGTTTTCGAGTAATTGAAAACAAGGGTGAAAGAAAAAGGAACGTTGAGATAATAAGAGAGGAACCAACTCTAAATTAAAGAAAATGATGAAAATTAGAAAGGTATAAATATGGAGAACGGTCTTCTTTTGATGGAACTAGTTGGAAAAGGAAAAAGAAAATAATATAAAGTGAATCTTCAAGCAAAGATTTTGTGAGTTTAGGTTAAAAACTCAAAAAATTTAGGGTTTTGTTAGGGAAAAAAAAGGAGAATTTTAGAATATGTAAGCAAATATTTTTTGAGATTGGGTTAAAAACTCAAATTTTTTAAGGTTTTGTTATGGAAGAAAAGGACAATTTTAGAATCTGTAAGCAAAGATTTTGTAAGTTTGGGTGTGGGATTTAATCTGTAAACAAAGTTATCTTAGTGATTGGGTATTTAGTTTTGGTTCCTAAATGTTTATGGTTTGAATCTCATAGAAAGTTTTTTTTTCCCATCAACAAAACGACATTGTTTTGATATTTTTGAGCATCAAAATGATCATTGTCAAAATGACATTGTTTTGGTGAGGAAGTCACATCATCACCGTCACGGTAAGGAGACGTAATGCATGTGTTTCGTTAACATATTAACGACGGGGTGACACAATTAGAGTTAAACATAAACGTAAGTGCTAAAATTGACAAAATTGAAACGTCAGTGGCATTTTCGAGCCTCCGCTTAAAGGTTAGTGATATTTGAAGTAGTTTACCCTTTATTTTTTGACGTGTTCGTTCGTAAATATATTCGTTTAGTGTTTGCAAACATGTTCGTTTAACATTAACGAATATGTTCATTTAGTGAACATGTTCATACATTTGTTTATATGTTCGCAAACATGTTCATTTAACGTTCATGAACATGCTCTTTTACCAGTTAAAATATGATAAAAATACACCACTAATGCTTAAATACCTTAAGTTTCATACTTTAAACTTCAAATTTCACTATGTGTTCAATTTAGTCTCTACATTCATCAATATTTAAAATTTAATAAAAAAGTAAATGAACGTCTAAACAAGTTTATGAACAAGCCATTAAACAAGTTTATTAATGAACATAAACAAACAAGTCGATAAATGACCACATAAACAAGTTTGTTCATAAACATAAACGAACCCGGCATACTTTATTTTGTGTTTGTTCACATTCGTTTATTTATTAAATGAACATAAAAATTTTGTTTATACTTGTTTGTTTAACCAAACAAACATACTAACGCTATATGAACATTTCACAAATAATTCACCGAACACTCTATTCATTTACACCCGTACATATTTCTACTTTTATTATCCAATGAAAGTTTAATGAGCGTATGCATTGAATACGAGTGTCAAATAAGAAATTTTAGAGAGAAGAAACATTGTGCTCCCAAATCTGAGCAACACAGATTACATGAAGAGGTTGTAAATATATTTGGCAGAAAGCTCATAGAGAATTACTTTGAAGATATATCATGTGATATTTTTCACTCTGAATTATTTCCTTGAGAGAACGATGAGCAAGAATAACACAATTTAGGTAAAAACATTGATTCATTTCAAAGTCAAGAATCTGTATTGATGTTCAAGTAATAAACTTTGAAGAAACTAATAAAGCTATCTTAAACACTCCTTTGTTGCAGACTGGTGCAGTGGCTTTCACCAATACTGCTGCTTATGCCTTAAAAAAGGGCGTTATAATGATAATACCTCATGAATTGCCACTTGTCGTCTTCGCTTCCTTGCCTTCTGTACGGATCGCTTTCACTAAAACTGTTTTGTGTTCATTTGAATTCGCGTGTTTTCTTTCTAAATTTGGATGCATTGCTATCTATGATCGGATAAACCTTCGGAGGGCATGAAAAGCAGAAGGAAGAAGCGACAGCCTGCTCGAAAACAACAATTTTTGTTTCTTGTTAGTCGGCTTAACACGCTTATTTCTGTGTCAGGACATTCTCTCCCCCGTTAATGATCCACTTAAGATTCTAACACAGTGTACAAACACTTATGCAGAATGGAGAGCTACATTTTTGTATGCCAAAAGAAAGATCATATTCGTACCTGCAGATCAAGGCGATGCACGTTAAATATATCTTTCATTGAGTGTGAATTGTACGCTAAAATGTAAGATCGATATGCATCTTTAGCTGACTTGTTTAGATAATAGTTGTTTGCCACCAACTTCTCCTGGCATTATTGCAAGCAGACAATATAAGATCCTCGAAAAATTGCCATTTCAAGAAACTGTAGCGAGTAAAAAGTGAAACATTACCAGATGAGACTGCACATTTGCCAGCTTCTTCTCATCAAACTCGTATTCCTTAACTGGAACTTTTGCTGGCTGTCATTAGAAATAGAGAACCAAAATAAACAAATCAGAATCGGTTTTTTTATTTACCGATGCTTTGCAAAAGCATTTAATTCTTAATGACACTGAATATTTGATTGCTCAAAGTTTCTTAATGCCAAGTGCCTTTAATCCCCACCCCTTGCCCCACTATGTCTCTCCAAGAAAAATAAGAACTCGTTTGGCAGAGATAATGCACCTTTAAATATCGAAGAAATTGCAGTTCCTCTGGGATCAAGAACAGAAGAGCGTTTCCTTTTGCACCTTCCCCACGGGCAGTTCGACCAACCCTATGAATATATTCCTAAAAGCAACATTCCGAAATACTCAACATGGCTGGAAGATAGCAAGATACGAATAGCAATATATTTATATATATAGAGCACAGACCTTTGGTTCATCCAGAGGATCGTACTGCAGAATCCAATCCTACACAGTGGAAAACAAAAATCCAGTTATAATGATTCTTCCTCAAGTTTAAACCGAGTTACTTAAGATACACCTATACAAACTGTGTATACATTTTTATAAAGGAGAAACAACCTTAATAATAGACATTCAAGCAACAAATCGAAAATGATACATAATTAGAACCACAAGCAACTCACAGCTAACAAGGTAACATACCACAGCGGGAATACCAAGTCCACGAGCAGCAACGACAGTGCAAAGCAAAATTCCCTTTTCTGCTTTGCAGAAGTCAAAGAAGGTAGTGGTCCGCTTTTGCTGCTTCTGCTTTCCATGGATATCATGGCAATCCACATGAATATATCTAAGAAGTTCCGCATGAAACTTGACCGAGTTACATGAAGAGAAAAAGACAGTCACTTTCTTGGACAGGTTCCTCTTCAAAAACGAGTACAAAAGGACAAATCTCTTGGAACTATGCACAACACAATAGCCTTGCTGCAGCCCTTCATTAGTGACCTACAATAATGATAGAAT